ACTAATATCAAAAAAAGTTTTTTAAAGAAAAGTAAGTGATGGATAAATAAATGCTGCTTTGTTCACACTCAAGATATTTTGACAATGTCACACACATTGCACGAAACCTGTATAGCTTCTCCATATCTTTTGGATCAACTTTAATATATCCATGGCACACCAACCTTACTAGAATAAAAAAAAATATAGGTATAACCATCTTATATTTATTAAAACAAACTAGGAATATAAACTAATTTAAAAAGTAAACATTGGAGTGACCAGAAAATTCAAAGTATAATTGCTATTAACTAAGATTTGGTACAAACCTTCAGAGGTAAAAAATAAGGAGATTATTTCTGATGTTCACCAACAATTCAACATTTATTATTTATATTGGAATTTTCATTTTTACAACAGCAAGATTATGTTTGTATAATAATGTATAATACTGAAGGGTAAAAACAATAATGTTCCATTTTATATATATTTACTAAAAATGTCTCAAGGACCTTGATAGGTTCTAGATCCATTTCTCTATTTCCAAACCTATGACTAAAGAGAATGCATTCTATTATTCAAAGTCCCATCTCAAAGCTCCTTAAAACTATTTCTGTACCTTCTTCCTTATAATTTATGTTTTCTAGCTTTCGTGCCTTGCACTTATATCTCTTTAAACACCTTTTCCTGACAGTTGATCAAGGCACACCCATTCTTCAAGTCCCTATTTATATACCATTCTTCTAAGAAACCTTTTCTAGTGCTATTCTGTTCTAAGCAAATGGAAGTGATCACTCTCGGAACTCCTTGTTCATCCCAGCGGAGTCACCCAGGATGTCCTTAATTCCTGCAGGAATGAGTTGTGCCAACATGTGTGGAGCATTGCCTACCAGAGATGCTCATTAGGACTCAGTGCTCAAAGATTTTCTTGGGGGCTGGTTGTGTAGGCACCCATGTGTACCAAAATTGCTGACTCCAGAAGGAAAGCAGGTGTCTAGGATGGCTGTATTGTTTGAAGTTCAGACATACTGAATTATTCTTACCAGGTAGGGTGGTGCTCCACTTCCCAAATCTAAGATCCCAGATGCCAGACAAGGACTAATCTTGCCAGAATGCTTTTCTAAGAAAAGGAGTCCCAATCTGTTATGTTAACTCTTTTGTACACAGGTAGTTTCGCCGTTCTGCTATCTCTATCTATATCTATGCCTATGTCTATGTCTATATCTATATCTTATCTTGACTCTCTCAGTACAAGCTTGCTGAGAACTGGTTAAGGATTTTTTTTTTACTCCATCATTCCCAGTAAAGACTAAGATTCCTGATATGACACTCACAAATAGTGATGAGTAGAAGGTCTGCTGATTCAGTAAGAAACTGCGAGAAATAGGCAGGGCAGCAGACTTAACAATAGGAAGGACAGGTCTGCCATCCCAGCCTGGATGGAGTCCTCTGTCTCAAAGGATAGGGGATGGCACAAACGGACAAAAGATGAGGAAGACACCCATTATGAGTAATACTATTACTGACACAAAATAATTTATCATTGGTAAAAATAAGTATACTTTTTAAGGAAACAGGAATATGCAGTATTTTTACAATAAAATAACATCAGATCACTGAAATACTTCATAATTCTGTCAATTTTGTAATTTATTCTTATTCTTAGAAAACAAAGTATATATTATAGGTCGTGTCTCAAAATTCACTCGCTTGAAAAGAGATTTACTGAACACTTACTTGATGCTGTCACTGAGATATAAATATTAAGAACTCCATAATAAAAATAGCTAATATTTACACAGGGCCAAACACTGTTCTAAGCACCACTCCAAGAGGTAGACACTGTGGTATGTTCTCCCTTTACAGATAAGGTTAATTAAGGAAGTCAAATAACCTTCCCAAGAAGTTTGCTGGTATACATGCTCTTAATCACCCTGTTATACTGACTCTCACATTCTTGAAAAGCTCATAGTCTTTTTTTGACATAAAAATTATTTTGATAAAATTAGAGAAAAAACCCATCTGTTCTACTTTTTATATTTTCTTCTCCAACACTTTAAAAATTAAAGAACTCAAGTATTTCTAGATTTTACCATTTCATACTTGGTAAGTTATGTGGTCTTAATGAATAGTTTACCACTTAGTAATTCATGAAAAAGTAGTGAGAACTCAATGTGTACATCATTTACAACTCTCATCTGAACATAAATAAAAGGAAAGTTATACTGGCTTAAATAAATAAATTTATGTGCACTGAAATTTGTTTATTTCTACCACTGTCTGAGAGTTGAGTTTTTTTTTTTTTATGGTACAATTAAAGTGATGTTTAAGAAGACAACTTTTCATTTCTCTCTGCATAAGATGCATTTTTATAATTAATTGTCTCTCACACAGGAATATAATTAATACATCTCAGAACCTGGAAGAAGAACTCATAGAAGGGAAACCACACTCTTGAATTTTTTATTTCTTATGTGGAAATTAAACAACCTCCTACTAAATAATTACTTCATAAATGAAGAAATCAAGATGGAAATAAAAAAATTCTATACTCCTACACTGCTGGTGGGACTGCAAATTAGTTCAACCTCTGTGGAAAGCAATATGGAGATACCTTAAAGCAATACAAGTGAATCTACCATTTGATCCAGCAATCCCATTGCTGGGCATCTACCCAAAAGATCCAATGACACTCTACAAAAAAGACACCTGCACTCGAATGTTTATAGCAGCACAATTCATAATTGCAAGGCTGTGGAAACAGCCCAAGTGTCCATCAATCCAAGAATGGATTAATAAAATGTGGTATATGTATACCATGGAGTACTATTCAGCTCTAAGAAACAATGATGATATAGTACATCTTATATTTTCCTGGTTAGAGCTGGAACCCATACTATTAAGTGAAGTTTCCCAAGAATGGAAAAACAAGCACCACATATACTCACCAGCAAATTGGTATTAACTGAACAGCACCTAAGTGGTCACATAGGTACTGCAGTAATAGGGTATTGGGCAGGGGGGAGGGGGGCGGGTATATACATATATCATGAGTGAGATGTGCACCATCTGGGAGATGGTCATGATGGAGACTCAGACTTGTGGGGGGAGGGGAGGAAATGGGCATTTATTGAAACCTTAAAATCTGTACCCCCATAATATGCCGAAATAAAAAATAAAAATAAAAAAAATAAATTAAAAGGCTAAAAGTTATAAATAAGCTGCATTATGTCAAACTCAAAGAGCAGTTTGGAAATGCAGATGTAATTTTACCCCTAGATGGTGAAACAATATTTGATATGACAAAGAAGTTATCAGTATTGTTTACAAGTTTTTAGGTTGTTACTTATTCAATATTAATATTTAAGTTCAGGAAGATGACAATGTTCTGGGGCTGTTGTGGGCAAGGCTCTTCATTAGGAGAGTAGGGTGATAGACATTTGAAAGGCATTGTTTCAATTTGCAAGTACTTAAGAAAACCTCCTTCAGGTGACTGGTATTATCATCCTCCTCCTGTGATAGACCTGGCAATTATTTTTCAGGGAGGTTAAGTGAATGTTTCTGCCAGGCCTGGCGCCTCACTCCTGTAATCCTAGCACTCTGGTAGGCTGAGGTGAGAGGATCACTTGAGGTCAGGAGTTCAAGACCAGCCTGAGCAAAAGTGAGATCCCCTTCCCCCACCTGTCTCTACTAAAAATAAAAAAAATTAGCCAGGCTTGGTGGCGTGTGAGGCAGGAGGATCACTTGACCCTAGGCATTTTAGGTTGCTGTGAGCCATCATGAAGCCACAGCATTCTCCTAGCTTGGATGACAGAGTGAGATTGTCTCAAAACAAACAAAAAGATGTGTATCTCTGGGTCACATAAGTAGGAAGTGACAGAGCAGTGACTTAAACTCAAATCCTCGCTCTTCAGAGTTAGCACTCTCAACTGGTAGGCCAGATTGCCTCTCAAATATCTCTGAAGGGAACCAAATTTGAATGTAATTAGAAATGTTCAGTACCACATACAGAGATACAATTCTTCATGCATCTCTTGCGTCTCTGTATATCTAACAAGCAGAAGTAGTGACTGCCTTTGCTCTGGACTTCTGAAGGATGTTTGTATGGTGGATGATGTTTGCAAGACAGAGACATGGTCTCTCTATCGAGGAATAGGCAGGCATGCTTACTGTCTATTAAAAATGTTAGTTTCCACAATGCCTAACATTTATTACTATTTTGGGGATCCTCTTCAAGGAAAATGTAAAACTACCAATACAAAGTTAAGTTCAGGAACATGGAAGGGCCCTGGTAAGTGAGAAGCCTTGAAATGGAAGTTCCATCCTTGGCAAATCCTTCTTGATCCTAATTATATTTTTGAAAGTCATAATTTTCCATTTTGACAAATGGCTCTAAATTACTTTTCATTTCCCAAGCACCATGTCCATATGTCACACAGAGCCCCATTTTGGAGAATAGCTCTTACACTTTTGCATCTCTCAAGCCATAATCTTTTCAACACTCTGGTGTCTTGCTTAGATTTATAGACAGTCTAGAGAATATTTTGTTTTTTCATCACTGATTCGATAGCCTAAATATGACCAACCTAATATTTTATATTAAATTTATTTCTAAAACTTGCCCTGGTGACAAGAATAGTTAAATTCTAGCAGAGATGAGCTCAAACTCCTGAAAAGTTAAATTCGTGGGAATTGTACCACGAATGTTTATATAGTTTCAACTTGGGTATGTGGCAGCTCTATGGTATTTGAAATGAAAGAAAAAACACACTTTATATTAGATTCTAAAAGTAGCAAATTATCTCCTGCACGTAGCACTGAAGGGAAAAATAGCTTAACTTACTTTGTTATGTGAGATCATGTCTTTTTATGACAGTAGATGCTTGAAACAGTTAAAACCATTAACAAATCACATTTGTGTGCTACACAGATAATAATTATAGGTTAAACATTATAAATATTTATTTGAACCCATGAAATAAATAAATAAATAAATAAGAAAATGAATATATTTCACCTACTTTTGAAATGTTACTTGATCGACTTGCAGATCGCCCTGGGGATTTGTCATTCTAAAAAATAAAATTAGAAATATTGATTAAAAGAAAGTATTGCAATACTCTTTACCACTGAGAAAGGAAAGCAAAGCACAGGCAAACTTGTGAATGCTTTCTATATTATTTGAAAGTATAGACATACTAATTGGTTATACAGAATGACTTTTTCTCTTATCAAATTGTATACTTTCGAAAATGTTTCAATTAACATCTGAGTGTTTATCAGGTTAGAAGTATTTGTTTCCAGAAAATAATTATTTCTACAGAAAAATTTGCACAGTTCCTTTGAAAATAAAATTATATAATGAAAATATAGTCCACTATTTCCCCTTTTTGTTCCTGCCACCAGGATATTCTGAGTAAATTCTGGTCCTCAATGTCAGTACATTTTTCTTGCTGGCTACATGGTATATACATCTAACTTGTGTTCTTCTAAAATGCACTTTCTTGGTCTTTTCTGTTATCTTACATACTTTGAAATGTAAAACATTTACTTTCTAAAATTTAAAATGCTTGCTAACTTACACATTTTCAAATCTAAAACATAAAAATGTTTTCAAAATTTATACCCTTAATTCTTACTTCTTAAGGAATTTTTAATTTAGTAGAAAAGCAGCATGAAATAAAGCATTTGAATAGATATTTTTTAAAAGGATGCAGATACGGACCTTAAGAGGTGGAGCCCTCATCTTTGAAACCCAGAAACATTCTGTTCCTGGATATAGAGTTGGTCTCTAAATCAGGGCCAGCCCTGAGGCCTTTGACTAGTCCAGTCTGGTTCCTCTCTCTACTCTGCCAAAATTATCTGCCAGTGGATAATCAACTGGAAAATCAAAGTTTATGGGCATTATTCATTTTACATGTAGAAAGAGATCACAATATACCTCTTCTGTAGAGCTAATGCTGTTGGAAGAATCGATTCTGAATATGAAAAGTTTGTCAAGAAGGATCTGAATTAACATTGTCACTAAAATAATTCACCAGTGTAAGAATCCTTTTTCCTTTCTTTGTATAACATCTGGACTCGGCCCTAAAGTGGACTTGAATAGACAATTGCAGTGCATCTTGGCAGAGGTCATTTTCGAGAAGTAAGTTCTTGTTACAACCTGTGGGTCTGGAATTGCCCCCTGATGACTGCTTGAGACAGTTTTCAGAAACAGTGATGACAGGATATGGTGGATGTGTTATTGTGGAAAAACAGTAGCTGCATCACTAAAAACTGTCACTGTGTCACACACAGGCTTGCAGATATTTGCTGAACAGTACTTTTTTCTTTACATGCAACATCCGTCTCATACAACTCTGATGTCACTGTGGAGCGTCCTGTTACCGACCAAGATGAATCACAACAATACGATTAGTTACACCTCACAACAGCCTCGTGACCCAGCTGGGGATTAATGCCTATGCTATGGCAGACGTTTTCCCTGATTAGCTTCCTCTGGAGATGGAGAGAGGCATTTTCTACCGACATCTGAAATCCTCTTCTAGAAACTAGAAAACAAAATCCATCTTACCTTCTCAGTGAAATTTGGGATTGTGACATATTATTGTGAAGAGCAGAGGTAAATAAGCTACATAATGTAATATGCTTTGGGTGAGATTTGTTTTAGGGGTTCCTTTGTTATATTTTCTATATTTACATGATACTTAAGAGAACATGATTAAGGAACTAGAATTGAAAGCTGCTGCAGCAGGAACCAACAAACAAAATAAGAAACTTAATTTGACATCACATTAGTTAATTTTTCAAACTAAATAGGACCTGTTTTGAGATAAAACAATGAGGGTCAGATTCATTCTTGAATTGTGTATGAATTCAGTGTAGGGTTAAAATAAGCAGGTAATTCCCACACTCTTTGCCAGCACCCCCAATCTAATGGGGGAGAAAACATCTACTTGATTATTTAGAACGTCAAGAGATCGTTTAACTTGAAATCAATTGGCTCTGTTTTTTCCTACTCCAAGATCAGGCATTGAAAGAAATAAAAAAAAGTAGGCAAAAGTTAACATTTTTGCCATGTCTAAGTTCTGTATTGTTTCTACACCAGCACGTGGAAAAGGCAAGTCGATCAGATAAGTTACCACAGGGGAGCAGAGAGGCGGACACTATTGCTCTGCTCGCAGTAATACAAAGTGAGAGACGGGTTATCCAAAGTGAGGTGACCCAAGACGGGAAGAGTGGGCTCCACATCTACTCGCCATCAAACTGGTACTGACTGATTAACACTATGGTGCTCAAAGGGTGGTGGTGTTCAGCAGGGATTCGGGGGTTGGGGGAAAGATCCGCATCTAAGGGATGGGGTGAGCATTGTTGAGGGGAAGGGCATACCTCTAACCCTAGCTCGGGAGAGGCAAAGATATAAAGTGCAACCAAAATGTTTGTACTCTCATATTTTCTTGAAATAAAAAAAAAAAAACCCCAACCAAATAAACAAACAAAAAAAACAAAGTGAGATATGGACTTGCAAGAAGACCTCTGGTGGTGCATTCACTCTGGGAGGAGTACATTATTTGACATTCCGAGACTTCAATCTCCTCACTACAATACGGGGGAGATAGTATCTTGGGGATTGTTGGTTGTCAGGCTCAAATGAATTATAAATGAAAATATTTTATAAATTGTAAAGTTATAGTATTTCCATTATAATTTACAGGTAGAAGACACACTGAAAGAGCTTCCTCAAAAATCACGACGATCATCGGAGATACTAGACTCCGATGAGATACTAGACTACTAGATACTAGTCTAGTAGACTAGTATCTACTAGATACTAGACTCATAGTTTTCACATAAACATCTTAGTTTCTGTATCTTGCAATTCTGCCTCTACTGTAGACTAGAAACTGGCATATAAAATTTAAAAATGTAAAATCAAATTTTTCCAACCAAAGGTGATTAAAAAATTTGGTCTGCCACGCTTTTGAAGCAAAGCACCAGAAGCGCTTTCTCTCTTGGAAGACTTCCAAAGCAATCAGTCCAATTTGCTGTGAATTAATTGGGTGGCTTGTCCCATTACTATTGCAATGACATATTCTTCTTTGTAGATTAGTCAATATGGTTGTCATACCTCATTACAATCAGTTTAAATACTTTACCTTAGATTAAATATAAGCTGTCTCAGAATCTTACTGAAGCCCAAATTATAGTGACCTCGTATGTAGGTCAACAAAAGTTGGAACCAACTAAAGTTCCTGAGAAGTCTACATGAAAGGCATGGAATCATTAAGCAGTAATGCTGGATCTTAGCATATTGTTCATAATATGCAGAGAGAGAGTTCTAGTTTCATAAGTGCATTTTAATATTTTAAAGAAGTTTTAATTTTTGTGTGAGATTAATGTATCTGATATTATTACTGTTGTTTTGTGATTATTATTATTATTAATTGTTTCTCAAATTTGATCTTACTAAACAGGGTTGGAATTTTATTACTAGCAAATAAAAGTGATTACCAAATGGATAAAATCATTACTGAATTCTGCTTTAATGTATTTTTAATGTTACACTGTAAGGAAAGTGACACAGTTCCCTTAAAGCAAAATGGTCTGTGTTGAAGAATACACAATATGGCTGCATATATCTGTATCTACGTATGAATTCTTCTGTATGCTACACCATTGACTAGACAAGGGAAATAAGACAGTTTAAAGGATTTTTTAAAAATGTAAACTGAAGAAAAAACTAAAAATTCCTGCATGAAGAAACCAGACTAAGACATTCTTAAAGACACCACTGATATGATACTATTCTGTAGGGTCCCCCCCCTTTTTTATAGGCTACAAATCAAGAGTATTTGAAAGGAGGAAAAAAATAAGGTAATTTGGAGGGTCATTTGAAAAATTTTAAGTAGATAGAACTATTTTCTATAATTAAAACTTGAAATATCAGGGGTAATTAAAACCCGAAATGGAAGAAAATTCTTTTAAAGCAATGTGGCTTATAAACAAAAAATAAGCAAGGACATAGAGAAATTGAATAATGTACTTCAATTTGATTAATAGCTATATGAAAACATCTAATGTCCATTAAATAAAAAACATTTACTGTCTATGAAAGATTTAAACATTATTTGGCCTCAAATCATACTGGAACAAAAATTTTCAAGTAGAAAATTGAAAGGGCTGTTTTTTAAAAAACTGAACCAACAGAGTTAGAAATACAATTTTGAAAAGTGACTAATAAGTCTTAATTACCTGAAAATTAATTAGCATACTTTTAGATAATGCTAGGTTTAAAGAAATGCGAACTGTCTGGAATAAAGCCAAAAACTCTAGAAAATATGATACTAAAACCCATAAGAACAGAGCAAAGGCAGAATCCATATGAGAACAGAGTATAATTTTCTTTCCTTTTCTTTTTTCTTCATTTTTCTTTTTGGATACTACCTTGACATGCTTGAAGTTTCATTTATACTGGAATAATAAAATGAGTTAGGGAAATTTATTACTATGAAAAGAATAGTGTAAATAAAATTGGATTTACGTTTTCTTTAAAAGTAAGATAGAGCTGGGTTGTGAAATCACCATGCTCCTAACCTTTTTAGGGGCATATAGGCCTTTATTTACTTTCCCAATTTCTCCTCTATCCTAATTTTTCTCTTCTTCTGGAACAAATTCTGAAAACTTTTATTTTACTAGGATATGATTCATTTCCTCTAGGTTTTTAAATTTGTTGCAAAATAGTGTGACACATAGCATTCTTTTATAATTTTTCTTATCTTTCTGTGTCTATGTTTATGTCTCACTTCTCATTTTTATCACGTTTGTATGTATACATACATGTATATATATGTGAATATATGTATATGTGTATGTATGTGTGTATATGTGTGTATGTATGTGTATTTATACGTGTGTGTGTGTGTATTATTTATTTTAGAGACTGAGGTCTCAATCTGTTGTCCTGGCTGGATGCAAACTCCTGGACTCAAATGCTCTCACTGCCTTAGCTTCTCTAGTAGCCAGGACCACAGGCACGGGACACTGCACCTGGCTTTTTTGTGTCTTTAAATGC